TACCAATGACAACGGTAAAGGGTTTCCTTCGTCTATGTGATATATATATATGTTTACCAATGACAACGGTAAAGGGTTCCCTCCGTCTATGTGATATATATATATATGTTTACCAATGACAACGGTAAAGGGTTTCCTCCGTCTATGTGATATATATATATATATGTTTACCAATGACAACGGTAAAGGGTTCCCTCCGTCTATGTGATATATATATATATGTTTACCAATGACAACGGTAAAGGGTTCCCTCCGTCTATGTGATATATATATATATGTTTACCAATGACAACGGTAATGGGTTTCCTCCGTCTATGTGATATATATGAATGACAATAGTATTGATTCAGTACGTTCTTTTATTTCTTTGTTTAAGATCAATTAAAACATGAAGTAGATACAGTAGATGTTGTATCTGTTTCAGGTATCCTACAAATACAAAACTTCTGAGCGAATCAACAAAGTGTATGGGTACTATTGACATCGCCAGCGCCCTCTCTCGGATACCTTCTAAACCATTAGAGTACACAACTCCGAGCATCGAGACAATTATCTGAAAATTTAGATTGCTCAATTAAGACTAAACTGACTTAAGTCGAACATCATTTTTGATTTTGAACTAAAGTTCAGTAAAGAGATTTCATGTTCTAATCATTTCAAGAAAGGTATTTTTGTGAACAAAGTAATGGTAAATTCATTCCAGGAATATGAAACAAAATAACACTAGAGAGCGCGATAGTTGATTTTACTTAACGTGGAGTATGTACAGTTTGTAAGTATCACGTAAGGACGTTGTCGGAGAGAGAGAGGGTTAGGCTTTATTATTATTATTTTAGGATAATACGTTATGGCCCCAAATGGTGTGTCTTGTGACTAGTCATCCTTCCTTCAGGTTTGGTGTACAGTCAAAATGTTCATCAGACGAGTTTGTTTTCTCAGTAAAGTTCATCGTTTAGTGTTTCTCTTCTGTTCAAGTTGTAGATATTCAGGTCACAGTGACACGAACACAGATTGTATCACGTTGTACACTCCCACTTTATCTCTACTGTGTTTAATTGGTATAGGAATCCGATATCTCGGACCAACGCAATGAAATGTCATTTTTTTCTGTCGTTTTTAACTGTCTATTCATCATTTTTCTACTGACATGTCATCACAGAAATTTCTATAAACAAGTTGTACCAAAAATAACATTTGTCATAGCTAATTGGCATTGTATTATTTTAGCAAGTTGGGTACATGGGCTATGTCTGATCGTTATTGGTATTGTATTATTCTTCCAAGCTGGATATGTAGAATATATTACTGATAGTGGTATTGTATTGTTATTTCAAGTTGAATATCCAGGATCTGTCTGGCCATTAGTGATACTGTATTGTTCTTCGAAGTTGAATATCTAGAATCTGTCTGACCATTAGTGGTATTGTATTGTTCTTCCAAGTTGAATATCTAGAATCTGTCTGACCATTCATTGTATTTTATTGTTCTTCCAAGTTGAATATCTAGAATCTGTCTGACCATTCATGGTATTGTGTTGTTCTTCCAAGTTGAACATCTAGGATTTGTCTGACCATTAGTGGTATTGTATTGTTCTTCCAAGTTGAATATCTATAATCTGTCTGACCATTCATGGTATTGTATTGTTCTTCCAAGTTTAATATCTAGAATATGTCTGACCATTCATTGTATTTTATTGTTCTTCCAAGTTGAATATCTAGAATCTGTCTGACCATTCATGGTATTGTGTTGTTCTTCCAAGTTGAATATCTAGAATCTGTCTGACCATTAGTGGTATTGTATTGTTCTTCCAAGTTGAACATCTAGGATTTGTCTGACCATAAATGATATCGTATTGTTTAACGAAACCAGAAATAAAAATTGTCCCTTCGTAAGTTTTATACTCCATACTACGATGTGGTTCAATCGGTTTTCATGTGTGTTAAATATTTGAAATAGTTGGAGTTTTTAAAGTAACATTTGTCTCCAGACTCGTTACACCTTAGTTAATCCGTGTGATTCCATTGGATTCTGATTTTATAACAACCAGTGAAGGATTGACATGATTACACAGCTTTCTGAATTAAGGTAGCAGAAGTAAACGTTCGTTTTATTACTGATGGATGTTTACTTAATAAATAAGATTACTTTTAATCCTAATCCTTCTTATTAGGTAGCTTTTATTTTGTAGACACGCAAAATTAATTAATCTCTGAAAAAGAATAAAACTTGAAACAGACCCTACCAATCAAAGTATGAACCATATATTATATATTAGACAATCACGACAACTCTCTGGTGAATTTTGTGATATTTTATTTCTCGTGTGGTTTATAGAATTAAACTTCAATTATACATTTTAGACATGTAAGCTAAAACCATAAGAATCCATATTCTGTATATATATATATTCACATTTCTTCTTATTGGTTCATAATAGTCCATCTCAGTCGAAAACAAAATAAAAAGCCTACGAACTATAGTCGATAACCAACAATATATATTAGTGAGTTTGTGTTTGTTTGTTTACTTTCGGAAAACAATGATAGTTTGGGGGCAAAATTGAAAGAGAAACGAAAATCTCAGGAGCAATTCATTAAACTCTTAATCTAGTTAATGTAGAGTTTCAAGTCGAGGGTTGATTTATATTGGGAATACTAGAAAATCTCAAAGGAAAAAAAATGATAAGAATTTATTATAAGCGTAATATAAAGTTAACGTAAATCTTAATCTGTGGAGTTATGTTTTTAAAAACAAAATTAAAAAATAATTAATTTTGCTAATTTAGATGTATTATAAAAACATTATGTATGAATTTAGATTGATTTCTGAGGAACTTAAGAACTTTTACTTTTCTTTCTGAGGATTTAATTATTTGATTTTCTTGCAACGCCATCCCCCCCCCCCGGTGGGACAGCGCTAAGTCTTCGGATTTACAACGCTACAATCAGGGGTTCGATTCCCCTCGATGGGCACAGCAGATGACCCGATGTCAGTATGTCTGCGGACTAACAACGCTTGATATCCCATTGTGTATCTTTGTTACTTTATTACAAATAATCAATCAATAAACTTGCAAAGCTAAAATGCGGGGTTCGATTCCACGATATCGACAGAGCGCGAATGGCCTACTGGGTAGTTTGTTTCACATATGATATTTTTAGTAACAAACACACATACACCACGGACTGTAAGTACAAGATTCAGTTGAGTCACTGTCTTTCTTGGTAGTTTCGTTTTCACTAAAATGTTTCATTTAGAACGATTGAACCTGTTTTTAATTTTTTTAGCGTTTACCCTTTTTTTTTCCTAATTAAAAAAAAACAATGCACAAAATCTCATTATTCCTTTATTCAAACAAGTCAAACATCCTCGATTGAGGCAAAATAATTCAAAAAAAGAAAGGTTGGACAACAAATTTATGGTAATCTCGGACCAAGTGTCGTCCTTTGTTTTATTTTCTCTCTCTGCTGTAGATGTGTCTATATTATGCTTGCAGGTGCAATAGAGTGTTTTATTTTCTCTCTCTGCTGTAGATGTGTCTATATTATGATTGCAGGTGCAATAGGGTTTGAATATCTCAGATACATCAATACAGTTTTCACCAATGGAATTTTTGTCATAGGTTTTATCTCCAGAATTCTCTTCCAATCTTTCAACGGCTCGTCAGTCTACAAACCTCTCAGTTCAGTTCTGTAACGTTTGTCTCAATAACCTGTTGACTGAAAGAACCTCTCAGAATTTGTGAATGTCTTTACATTACCTAAACTAATGAAGTACAATACTAGCCAATCTGTGGAACGTCTTTACATTACCTAAAAGAATAATGAAGAAGCATATTTAACCTTTTGACAGTTCCTTCTTGCAAACTCCACGTATTTAAGTTTATAGTCTTCGTAAAGTGATTTTTTAAACGTGTGTTTGACTGTTGTTTTGGCCGTGTCACTTAGTTAACAGAAAGAAACATAGCGCGTGCACACATGAATAGAAACAAAATATAAAACAACCTTTATTATTTACGGTATTCTCTACAAGTTTGGATATCCTAATGACAGCACTGCCCTAAGTTTAATAATAATATAATAGTTTTTGTGTTTTTCGGCAAACCAACATTTTATTCGTTCTCCTCTTCATCTGTCTATTAAAACAAACATTTTTTAATGGCATCGTTAATCTTTCTATTATTTTTTACTTTCTAATATTAACACTACAAATATGTTTATATATATATACACTCACACATCCATATAGTTTGCTTTCTAATAGGATCAGAACGAATATCCTTGCGGTGCCTATTGGAACTAAGAAGAATATAAACGTGCGATTTCTCTTCAAAGCATTACTAAAACTTTTATGTCTAGTAATCTTCTGTGTGACCAATATCAAATATTTATTAACAGGTCTAGTTTTCCCTTAAATGTTTATTTTTCGGCCATCACACGCTTTCAGTCAACAGGTTATTGAGACAAACGTTACAGAACTGAACTGAGAGGTTCTTTGAGTCAACAGGTTATTGAGACAAACGTTACAGAACTGAAGGGCTAGTATTGTACTTCGTTAGTTTAGGTAATGTAAAGACGTTCCACAGATTGGCTAGTATTGTACTTCGTTAGTTTAGGTAATGTAAAGACATTCACAGATTGGCTAGTATTGTACTTCATTAGTTTAGGTAATGTAAAGACATTCCACAAATTGGCTAGTATTGTACTTCGTTAGTTTAGGTAATGTAAAGACGTTCCACAGATTGGCTAGTATTGTACTTCGTTAGTTTAGTAATGTAACGACGTTCCACAGATTGGCTAGTATTATACTTTATTAGTGTGGGTATTGTGGAGTGGTTCCACAGATTGGCTAGTATTGTACTTCGTTAGTTTAGGTAATGTAAAGACGTTCCACAGATTGGCTAGTATTGTACTTCGTTAGTTTAGGTAATGTAAAGACAATCACAGATTGGCTAGTATTGTACTTCGTTAGTTTAGATAATGTAAAGACGTTCCACAGATTGGCTAGTATTGTACTTCGT